TAAAAACGGAACATCATTCCGATTTGCCTTCAGTTAACATGAACGAATAAAACAGCACTAGCAAGGGGTAAAAATAGCATTAGCGAGTCAGTCTTTCTTGATAGTCAATTGGTTGTTGGTTTTATCAACTAGTCAAATGTTTTTAAGCATTCCTATTGCTTGCTAGGACTGGGTGATATGATGATTTATATCATGGCGATGGCGATGATATAAAGTGTGAATTGATTTAACTTTTTCTATATTGTTTTTATATCGCTGTATGCAAATATATCCATGCACAGGCAGGAGTTATTGACATTTTAAAATGATAAAGAAACATGGATGAATGAGTAGCCTAATAAAGAGCGGGACATGTTTGATGTTAAAAAGAGTTATTAAAAGCGCAATGCCGCGAACGATAAATCATTCGCACACTGACAGGTAGTTTTCTGTGCAGGCTAAACAGTCAAATGCACATAAAATATGTTGAAATCTAAGTATTTACATAAACACACTTGGTCTATGTCTTGAGTGAAGGTAAACAGTTGGGAGAATCAGATGCGTATCGATATATTGGGTCCATTCATCATCTCTTTAAGTGACAGCAACCTAAAATACTGCTGCTGTCTGTGTCATTAATGTTAATCAAACAACAAAAGAAAAAGAAAATCACTCACTGCTCTTGACTGAATAACTTTTGTAGCTTTAATAAATATCAGTGCATTTAATTTATACAGTGAGAATTATGCAGTGTTTTATTTTGGATTCCGTTACTGTATTCAATTTCTGTATTATTTATTACTTCTGTTAGGTAGACCTACCTGAAAAAAATAGCACTCTTTATTTAATTTGTATCTTTGTTCTATTGTAATTATTTTTCTTACTGCTGGTCATTTCTTTGATCTAATTTTATTACTGACTGTTAACTTGTCTTCAATAATTGCTTGAGAACTTTTTACGTACATTAGTTAGCCTAGTTTAAGTTTTTGCTGTGGTATTGAAAAGAGTGATATTCCACTCGTATCTAAAATGTTGGTATTGTAATAACCTAATATCCAGAAAAAAAAGACTATCATGATATATATTGTTATTGTGAATAGTTTTTTGTCATATCGCCCTTCCCTACTACTTGCTATATAGCAAGAAAAGATCCTACATTTTTAGACATGATTAATTTAGTAGTGTTCACCACAATAGTTAGCAGTGTAACCTGGTCAGAAATAAGTATAGAAGTGGCACAAATAACAATGAATTAATGATTGTTGAATGCAAAATATTTCAATAATTAAAAAACTTTATTCGAAAGTACACACAATTAAAACACATCATACTTATGAACACAAACACTCATAAACCAAGTTTTATCTAAAATGTTTTATTCAAAACCATGAATAGTAATATTAAGAGTACATAAGTGTGTAAAAACAGATGGGTGTCAGGCATCTTTAGTCTGTATTACATCATAAACCGACGTAACAGAGCCCAGTTTTACGTGAAAAAGATGACCATCATTATCATCGCCAGGAATATCACTGTCATTAATGGTGTCACGGATGTTTGTGTCGGCACAGAATATGCCATGCAAACAACTGATCTTGCTCTAGGCAGTTCATCAACTGACTTTTAATAAGACCCCTGGGATATATGGGAGGAATTAACATACACTGATTCATACGCTCATACTGTTGTTCATACACACACATCCAACCACTTGTAACAGAATCCTCTATGCAGAGGTGCTTTACTGTGTTTATAAAGTGTGTATCCTGAGAGGTTCAGCCCTGCGAATATATAGGCAGGCGATTGTCTCCAGAGTCTGAGCTCTTCACTGGCCATGGTATACACCGATACACACATGCAAAAGCACAAAACCAGCCTAGAACATGCACAGAAGAAAATAGCTGTTTCTGACAGGACAGTTACATTGGGATGTCCCTAAAACTCCTGTGCATGTGGGAACACAAGTGCGCGTGTATCTCTCTCGTGAGCACCACTAAATCTGAAGGCGTAAGGCCAGAGAGGCATATGGAGTCTGACGTCACTCTTATGAACATATCAAACAGTTGATATTTTGAGTTCATAATGGGTGTCATAATCCTCTCACTTCTCTAGATTGGCTTGAAAGTCTGCTTGAGTTAAGGGGAAACTAGCCCACCTCAAAGTCCACACTCTTATCTTTCCAAAGAAAATGTTTACATGGCTTTGTAGTTTCAGATCTCTCCCCTCCTTCGATCGCATTCACTCTCGCTCGCTCGCAAACATAAAAATAAATCTTTCTTTTGTGGAGTTTCAAGACCAGTCAGACGGATTAGGGACGCCCAAAAGATACCCATCCCACCCAATCCCAAATCATCCTATTAGAATCAAGAGATCCTCAATGCTCTCAATGGAGGATGCGCTCCAAGTAATGGGGGTGAGGGTTTTCTTTGACGAACTTCTGGATGTACCAGCAGGTTAAATGGGCTTTCAGGTCCTCCTCTACCACGAAGTCCATTGCAGCCTAGCAAAAAAAAAACACACACCAAATTTTAATGTACGCCAGCGAACAAGGTAATACCATTGTTCACATTGATTTTGAGTAATCTTCTACAACCTTGGCCAGGTGTTTGGCGATCTCTCGTCCTCGGTAAGCTTCAGGAACCTCAGTATGCTGCAGATCCACCGTCTTCTTCCCCACATATTCATACAGCAGCACAGCCCTGTCATGGGAACCTTCAATATGCAACAGAATAGATGCGAATATAGAAGTCAGCATGCATCCTGTAAACAATGTAATTCATGAACTGCGCTGTTAAACAGGATGCATGTCGTTTTCCGGGGAAATAGTCGCATAGTCGTGGGCTTGGTTTATATCTCTATGAAAGCGTAATTTCTGTGAATACAAACCCTTTATTTTCACGTGAAACCCGGAAAGAAACAACGCACGACTGCTGATCTTCTACAGCTACACAACGACAGAAACGAAACGACCTGGGTTTGTTTTGTACAGATAGAAATCAGTGGCGATGATGGAACAGGAAGTAGCCTAAAAATAAAGTCTGGATGGGATGGCTAGCGGGTAGGCTAGCAATAGTTATTGATTCAGCCAGAGAAAAAGAAAACAAAGCTCGCATTTGAGCAAATGCACAAACTGTGGCTATAGTGACAGGAGAGATTTACTGCGGCTCTGTACGGCAAAACAAAACAGCTGAAACTGCAGCATCCATCGGATGAATCCTACTTATTAAACGCTTGTTAAAAGGCTACTACAAACCAAAAAGATAAAGAACAAGCTGATGGTGTGTTGAAAAAAAAATTGCTCGAGCAAAACAACTAGTTCATGTCATATTCAATTACCTACTGAGATCAAAGCATGTAACGACATTTACATAAACAACAAGGCAATTCCTACTACATAACTAGGACGGATTCTATTAGATAACATGTTTATCGTGTTGAGAAGCTAAATATAATAAACAAAAGGCATATTTTGCAGGCGAGAGGACGGTGGTTTTTCCTCCTCCCCCATCTCGTTATCTGACGCATTACTAACCGTTCAGTCGGATGCTGAATTGTCGTCTTTTCTTGTCGTGCTCCACTCTAAGAGGAGTGTTGATATCGAGGACGTTTATCTGTGCAGCCTGGGCCATAATGACAGTGAGTCTACTGTCAGGGCAAGGAGGAGCTGTGTGTCAGTGTGCCACGGCTGATTCCACTGCGATCATGAGAGGCGCATTCATGCCTCGCCGAGGTAAGGACGAACATCTGATCCTGCAAAAACACGCCATCCACGGAAATCAGCTGTGAAGTCACGTGCTCGCAGCTGACCAATGAGGAAGGATATATTGTTTTGATACGCGCGGTCTCTTTAAAAAGATCTCGCTATGCGGCCACCAGGTGGAGATCATAGACGGTGGAGATGAATGTTTGCTGTTCGGTTTTACCGGTTTTACTTCTTGGTCGATATTTTCCAATGGCATGTCCGGAATTTGTTTAAGAAACTATTAGAATTTACTGCAAAGGTAGTTCAGAGAAAAATGGAAGCAATTTTTGTTTGTCTTGTGTATTGCCTCACCGAGATCAATAGGCCTATAATTATGATGTATTTAGTCAGTTCATTTCTTTTTAGCTGTACTTGTCTTTAGCCTTAAATAGGCCTAACATAACAGAGTGCATAAGTAGGGTTTTGAAACTTTTGTTAATCGATTAGTTTAATAAATATACATGATTTATGTAACCGCAAAATACGTAATTGCTGCACTATCAACATTATAACAATGATAATAATACTATTATTATTACTACTCATATTGTTGTTAATAATGGAGATTAGTAGCATTGGACATGGTATGTTTAAGACAGTATTATTATTATTTTACATTTTAATTTGCAAAGAAGTTGACAAAACCACAAGGGTGATCATCTCCATCACGTCTGAATGTAAACGTTGGTTGAGGTTAATAAATGTTCTTGCTTTTATCTGATTTGTTTGCAACTACATGTTCATTATAGCAATTAAACCTATTTTTGCCAAACTTTTTAGTGTCATTTACTCAGATTCTGGTTATAAAAAACAACATGTATTGTGAAAAGTGCTAGACAAGACAACATGACTTGAGTTGATTCTAGAATTTGATTTCATTGTGTTCATAGATATCCTTAAAACCATGTAAGACACATGACAGGTGTTGGGGTGAGGGGTCAAAACATACTCAGACACAGATTTGAGTAAATTACTTTGCTGATGAGGTTAATTTATATCAGATCCATAGTCCGACAAACACAACCAAACACAGGTTAAAACAACTACAGAGCACACCCAAGCAGAGGATGGGTTCAAGTTTACTAATAACATACATAGCATCTAGTACATACAATATTTCAGTAGCGAATACTAACAATTTTAAGTTATTTCTCATTAATAAGATGATCATTTTAGCATTCCTGGTCACATATGATTAAAAAAAAAATCATTCAGGGAGATATTCTACTGGCCAGTATTGATGCTAATGCAATCAGAAGAGAAAAAAAAGTCTAATAGAGATAGTCACACACATATATTCATGCTCATATCTGTAAATGTGAATATACTGTAAGTCTGCGTAAAGCTTTTAGATGGCTTAACATTTTCAAAGTACAGTTTATTGTAGTGTCATTTGAATGGTACACAGTCATTAACTGCGGATCTTATTAAAAGATCCTTAACTCATATTGTTGTTAATAATGGAGTCATTATTATGTGTCTGAGTATGGCAGTTTCAATCAACAGAACTAAGGTGATACATATTAGAGTTTGGAATGTAACAAGAAATCTGTGAACATATTGAGGGCCTTATTTAAGTGTATTATATATTTAGGGCCTCTCTATTATCTTCCTCAGGGTGTTGATGACATCCTCTCCACTGTTCCAGGGCACCACACTTGCCTTGAACTCTCCAGGTTTGGCTTCCTCCATCTCTTGAATCAGTTTATGCATTGGGAAGTCCCGGCGTGGGAATGCTATATCACCCGGTGACAGAGTGAGTGATGGGCAAAAGTCATTGGCCCCATCGCCCACATACAGAACCTTCTGATAGGCCCGCCCGCCTCTCTCACGCATGCGCTGGGCCACATACTGCCTTACCACCACTGCTTTGCACATGTTTGCTGGGCACCGCAGGCACTCATGGGAGTGGAAGGGCCGAAGCTGCAGCTGCCCATTATCATCAAAGTGAGCCGGGTTGGTGAAAATACGCAGAAACAGTGGGCGGAAGCCTAGGTGCTGCAGCCACGTCTCGATGAAGACAGTATTGGCATCAGACACGCAAACCACTTCAAAGTCCCTTGATGGCTGGGAAAGCAGGAATTGCATCAAAGTGGGGATGCCTGGGCAAGGAGGGAGCTTCTCCACTGTGTCTCGAATAGCTGCCGGGGTGATGCCCTGTTCGGCGAGGTAGGCCAGCACACGCTGCATGTACTCATTGTAGTGGCCAGAACGGTAAGTGTCCTTCAGCCAGCCGGGCAGGACTCCACCTGGCGCCACAGTTACTATAGAGTCGTCAGTGCACTCATCCACCAGGGTCTCGTCAAAGTCAAAGAATATAAGGAAACGCCTATCATTAGGCGGCGGAGTGTGAGCTCTGCTTCTATGTTGGTGGTGCTCCTCCACTCCTCCAGGGGGATGGGCTGGGGAAACGCAGCAGTTGAAGACAGAGTCCCGCATCATGGACAGGAGGGAAGAACAGCACAGATGTCTTTTTCTTCTCTGTCTTCTGCTCCTCCTCTGCAGAAGAAAAGAGCAATGCATTTATGCCAGAGCTTTAAGCAGACAAAAGAAATGATAAAGAAGCAGGAAGGACAAACACTGGAAGTCAGCAGTGAAGTAGCCTAGATAAAACTTTAACCCTAATATTATATATATATAAATAATAATTTTTAGATGTATTCAAATATATTTCCAGCCATTGATGTTCCAAAGGTTTAAGACTTATATAGTCTGTGGACTAAAATCAATTGATAGCAGTTTCCTGCTTCTTCCATTCTCTTACAAACTTGTGTCAATATGGTTCTACACGGTCAGATACAGATGTCAAATATTTATTTTAAATATAGACAAATGTTAAATTAATTAATTTAGACTACATTATGGTTTCAACCTGATTTTCTAATAATGCAAGTATCTTTTGAATTGTCAAGGCAGTTTGTAGGTTTAACAGAGCTTACAGTATATTTTATTACATATTAAACTCTTCCTTCTACCATTATCTTTAAAAGATCCCATTTTGTTTTTCTTGAATTTAATATTTTAATTCATGTAAAGCCTTGATTTATTGTCTGAGGACATGGTTTTAAGATGTAGCTTAGTATACGATAACATTCTCATCTGATTCATTTTAATGTGTTGAAATATTGCCGATTTTAATTAATAAAATAATGGGACATGTTTTTTTCCCCCTCATGTAAACCAGTCAGTGAATCGACCTACCGGAGTTTTTAATCTATCAGTCTTCAGTATGATTATGCAACTCACCGGTTTTCACCTTCAACGCGCCGCTGCACAGTGTCAACCTATAACAGACAAATACAGGACAATATGACTTTACATTTTCCAAATACTCACTTAGAAATGTTTTTAGTAGCCTAAGCGAGAACAGTTTCTGCTGAACGTTTACAAATTGTAGGCTAGCCTACTGTTCAACGATACACAAGTTAAACAGCGTGATTATATTCTAATGGATTGTAATCAAAAGTAGTTACACAGCAAATTTATATGACCTTGCTTTCACTTTATATGCATTAGCCTACAGTAGTACAGATTATGCAACAAATCGGAAATACCTGATTGTTGGTGCGTTTGGCTCAAGGTATTGCTTTTAAGTTCAGCAAATCTTTAAATTACAAATTATTTTCAAATATGCCTAAAAAGGTAGGCTATGTTGAGGTAATAGCACACCACATGATATAAATATACAAAACAGGACAGGGCGTAATGGAATTGCCCATTAAATCAGCAAAATACCTTTCGCTGTATAGTTGTTCATCACCGATCGCTGTTTCTGCGTCTGTCCGCCCGGCTGCTCAAAAGTGCTGCAGATGTATGGTCCGATCGTGCTTTATTCAACAACAGTGACGCGCGTCGGATGGGCCACGCCTCTCATTCATCACTGTATCCAAACACCACTGACATCCTCCTCAGCGATGCAAGACCATTTGTAATGTATGCAGTCAAGATCTAGCCTACCTGTTAGACCTACCTGAAAATCTTAAAGCTGTTTATAAGGTTACATGCAGTGCTTAATTTGTAAATAAATAATTGCCAGATCAAAAACAGCAATTAAAAGGCACTGTGACTGACACTGACCATATAGCATAGGCTACAACTTAAGTTTTCCCGGAACATACAATGACGTCACTAAACAGTGACGGCACAAAGAGCATCGTTCACAAGTTTCTGCACGGCAGTGTAGGCTATTATTTTGTCACGTAGGCCTACGTTTATGCCAATCATTCAGTTCAGTGATATTCTCTCACGATTGAACGACGTCGTTGCGTTTCCACTCGATTTCTGATTCTGACGGATAACTCCCGTTGCTCGTGTCTCCTGCTACCCTGGGGGTGCGTTTCCCAAAAGTATCGTTAGCCAATATGCGCAAGTGCGCCATTGAACCCGATCTGTTGGTAACGACAGAACTTGCGACCATGGCTTTGGGGAACGCACCCCTAGCAGTTCCATGATATCTCTTTTGATCAGAAACACTACCAGCTTTACTCGTAGATATGTAAAATGAAAATGTGCTTTACTGTCTTTTGACATTTTGGCGATATTAACATAGAATAATTAATCAGCTAGCCTACACTCTCTCTAAACTTGACGCTACTCTCCAAATACGCTTTAGCCTACTGCGTGCAAAACAATAAGCAATGATAGTGATAAACAATAAGCAATGATAGAGATTTTGAACGTAAGACAGCTGATAAAAAATATATTTGCCGATAGCAAAACATAACCTCCAAATACATTTGCATTAACCCGCGCTTTGAAAGCAGCGTTTTCAATTAATTCTTATGGAAGCTGAGCTTTACGCTCACTCACGAGAACTGAACTGAACTGAACACACTCGCTTCACGCCAGTGTGCACGCACCGTTGCCATGCACTTGTTTGCCGGATCGTTTAAAAACAACGCCGGAACGCAAAAATCCAAAATTTGACATTTTCCAGAACAGGATACGGCTCAAATTAAGCATGTGTCAAAAACAACGAAAACAATAACTTTTTTGTGCATGTGATCTATCGAAGGGCACAATGTGACATTTATTACAATGGGTTTATGACTATGTGTAGATTGTTTTAAGTTCACTTAAATTAAGAGTGGTTATATTTTTTTGAAAAGTCTAATAAATGTTAAAAATGATAGCTTTCAGTTTTCAGGGGGGGGGGGGGGGGGGGGGGGGGGATCCATGTACTAGAGACATCAGTTTCAGCACTGTGTTCATTCATTTACAGGCCTTTTTATTCATTATAAAAAATATAACTTTAATTTCAGGTAGGCCTATATGATTAAACGTGATTAATTAGGCTACAGAAAAACGTGATTAATTAGGCTACAGAAAAACGTGATTAATTAGTTAATTTTAAATCGATTGACAGCTCTACCTTTTTGCATAGTCACAGTCATCATGGCTATATGTTACAACAGGATTTATTTTCAGAGAACATTACATTTAGGCTTGCAAAAAGAAATCGCAACAGTGAGTCGCTAAAGCGCGACTCATAATGATCAGTAGGCTAGGTATTTCAGTAGGTAGGCCTATACATTCTTTCTGTCATTATTTGTGATTGAACTAAATCTGAAAATTTGTAATGGGTAAAGATTTAATGTGGGTAACATTTTATCTTAGGCGAGCTCAGGCAGGACGCAGTCAAGTTTAGTCGTGTAATATCCTGTAGGCCTTTAGGCTACTTCAGTTCTTTCTGTAAAAACGCGAATGACAGCTTGTAAAAAAGAAAAGAAAAAAAAAAAGGCTATGTTTGGGTGGAGTGGAAAAGGAACTTGTGTGTCATCAACATTCCAAAAACAGAAAAGTCTTGATAGGCTACTTGATGCCCATTTATGTCAGCCTATAACAGACAGTGTATTCTAGATACAAATTAACTCTTCTCCAAGTCTAAGTGGGGCAGAGGAAACAAAAAGAGAAACACTATTGATTTATTATGAGAGCATAAGGGCATCCGTCAATGCAATCGAACACGTAACTTTACACAGATAACGATATCAAATGCATGACATTGTCAAGAACATTTAATGGAAATGTCCTCCGTTTTCTTTTTCATCACCAGTTGTCAGGTGACTAATCAGTCAGGACTCTCTAATCACGTGCTTATGATGTCTGTTCAGCTTTCAACAACACACACACCTATAGCTTTATGTAAAACTAGGCCACATTATTTTTTTGCAAAAAAATGTTTAATAGTTTAACATTTAAAAGTGCTTGTTTTTTAAAACATGATTTTAAAATATCAATGTGACACTAAACCCAAAGCAACTAGCATATAACTTTATCTAATCACATATTTCACAAGGCTAAACAAGGTCAAAGGTATAAAGAGATTGAGGTCATATCATGAAACAGGCCCATTCTAGTCATTAAAATGACCCACTTCCCATATATACTGCTTTCTTTCTTTCTTTCTTTCTTTCTTTCTTTCTTTCTTTCTTTCTTTCTTTCTTTCTCAAAAACAAACTTTACAATGTAAAAATTTAGACAAGTGGCTTGTGGCTAATTCATTTTACTTTTACTAGTTTAAAGTTAGCAGAAAGTGTTAAATGCACAATATAAAAAAGGCCCAACATTAATGCAGGTCAAACATGGTGTCTCAAAAACAGGAAAACAATATAAAACAGAACTTAATGAAGGTCAGACGTTTCTGTACCAGAAACAAGGCTAAGAATAAAACACTGCTGAAATTGAGAGGATAGACAGGTTGAAAAAGACTAGCTGAGAAGAGATATGATTAAAAACACCTCACAAGAATAGACATTATTATCGTCTGCTTATTTTTCTTATCTAGTAAGGTTTTATTAGAAAGTGCATTCCATCAACTGATGGTGAATGGAGAGAATCCAAGTAGCCCAAAACACAGTTAAAAAAGGACATGACTGACAGCCATCTGAACCGATGACAGTATGTCTCAGGTAAAGAGGGCAGGGCATGAAGGCAAAACACAACTTCTTATAGGACAAACTAATTATTTGATGTATAACAAGGGATCCCAACCAAATCCCCATGTGATTCTCCCCATTTTCCAACAGTCAGCCATCTTTCACGTGTCAGACACGTGATAAACAATTCTTTGTCAGTTACGCAAACCTTTTACTTGTCAGTAAAGTGCAGAGGACAGATGGTCTAATGAGAGGACAAAAAAAAATCACAATCAATCAAGTCTGATTGACTCAAGACTTCCCATCACTTTATCTGTGCTGCTCCTAACGCCACCATTTTAACACTCACTCACTCACTCTCTCTCTCACACACACACTACTCATCAGCATGATAAAGAACCATGTACCAGGAAAAGACAGAGCAACTAAAAAGCAGCTTTTGATACCAGCACCACAGGCATATGATCAGCTACAAAGACACACACACACACACACACACACTTTTTTCATTTTTAAAGTCTCACAGAGCATGTTTATCTACATTATACAAATAAAAATATTGGTTAAGTGAGTTAGATTGTATGGAACATACAGTAAAATTAATTAATGATCTTTTTTTCACCATTAGTTGCAGTCTACCTACGACACATCACAGCATCGGTCTTCCTTAACAGTCTCAACCTCCGACTGAACACGCCGGAGAGCTACAGGCATTACCCAGTAAGCATATTTTTATTGAATTAAAAAAAGAAAGAAAACTCAAATATTTTAATAAAATCACTGACAATCACAATCAGGCAACAGAAAAGTTTCAGTCATATAGACTACACTGAGTTTACTGCTTAAGTGCTGTATACTATGTTTGTGTGAAGACTTGTGTACTAGAATATGAATATTTTCAGTTGTCGGGAAGACCTGCATTTCTAAAGACACTGCATTTGTGAAATGTAGACCTTTAACTTGTGGACGTTTGAACCCGTAGAACCTTTGCAAAAGCAGCTGAGTCGATAAAGAGGCAGAGAAAGAGAAAGAAATGTGTTGTGCCATTGAAACCCCAATGGCATCTTGATCATTGTGACAAGAGTTTGAAGTGATGTGAAGTGAATCCTAGTAATGCTTTATGAAGTTCTTGAGATCAGTTCACAGAGATTAGCTGTCTAACAATCCTGTTTGGTCACGAGTGCTAGTGGCAATTAGGTTTGTAGTTTCAGTTTTGTATCACACACACACATACACATACATACATGTTGCATTTCACCGGTTTCCGATTCCGGTGAGAATTAAACCGATGTGTGACGTCAGTCTGTCCGCCCTATTCTCCAGCAAGCACCTGATTTCACATTCGTGAGTTTGTGTTCAAGAGAGTGTTTCAGTGGTGTTGCGGAGCAGCGCCCTGTCGCAGGTAGGCGTCCTCGTGGGCGCAGTGGTTTATTGGCTCGCTCTTAAATAGGGCGGGGGGAGGAGGCAGGACAGAAGGCTGCACTGAGATTGGCTGAGGGGCGTGGCTCGTCATGGGGGCGTGTCCTGTGTGATGGACAGGAGTGTGAGTGTGGGCAGGGTGATGTTGTGCGGGCACGGTCTGCATGTGCAAATGAGAGAAGCCATGAACGGTGACCGCACGTTGCGGCAGAGGCCCTCCCGTGGCAGGACTGATCATTACGGGGCCCACGGGCGTTGACTGAGCGGGCTGGGTTGGTGTTGGGGTGTGGCTTGAAGAAGGGGTGTGGCTGGTAAGGTGAATGGAAAGCCCCATGCTGGCAGGCTGAAGGGTCACCGGACTGGTGACCCGGAAACACTTCTCTCGGTGCGCCTTAAGCATGTTGGAAAAGCGGAAACGCTGGCCGCAGATTTCGCAAGGGTACGGCTTTTCCCCGGTGTGTGTGCGCCGGTGCCGCTTCATATTGGGCCGACTGGTGAAACTCTTCCCACAGATCTCACAGATGAATGGCTTCTCACCTGAAGAGAAACAGAAGAATGGGAGAGAGAAAATAGATCATGTTTCATTCACTGGCAATAAACCCACACGGGCAACAAGAGTAGTTTGAGTTAAACATGTGGTGTGTGGCGTTATTATAGAGAACATCTGGGAGTGTTTAACCACAAGAGTTTAAATGTGTCTGCTACAAGGTTAAACTTTAAAAATACATATGTAGATCAACCAGTAAGGCATTCGAAGAATATAAATCTTCAATAAACCTTACAGAAACTTTTTAATTTATATATTTTTTATTTAGGTCTTTTCAACAACACTAAATAAATGAATCTTTTTTGAACGGAATTGTTCTAGTCTTGTTTTATGAATTTATACAAACTTATTTTAATAGCAAATGGATTAAGTTTTATTTTACAATAAAATGAAAAGATTAACTTCCAAATCTTCAAGAATTGTGCAACATTAGTTCTTCATTTTAATTAAAATTGAACAAACAGTTTTTTGGAGTGCAATATAGACATGCTCTGCTTGAAAGTGTACAAGTAATTTTATTGTTGAAAACCTAACATTTTTTTAATAGTTTTGCTTAAAAAAAAAAGAAAGAAAAAAAAGTGTACCGCAAATTTAATTTGGTTTGTTATATAACGCAATGGCATTCATTTTTAAGTGTGCCCATATTTTGGGGGGAGCCACTGTAGATTAGAATAATCATTATTATAGTAAAATTACCCACAAAATATGTTCAAAAGAGAACAAGAGAGACAGTCTATCTTTATTCACTCTCCACAAGTTTTAAATGTTTGTGTTTGTGCACCTCACCTGTGTGTGTCTTCATGTGCTCATCGAAATACTGCTTCATGTTGAAGTCTTTGCCACACCACTGGCACATAAACTGCTTGTGTCCTATGTGAATGCTCATATGAGACCGCAGCTGGTATTTGTACTGGAACCTCTCGTCGCAGTTCTGCACACGCACAAACAGAAATAGACAGCATGTGGGTGGATGCTGGTTCAGCCTCACTTCAAATCAGGGCCAGACTGAAGCAATCCCAACTTTGTAATCTGATCATAATAACCTGTCATTACTGTTCATAAGCCTGTCATTAACATACTATTTATAGGAAGCAGGCCAATCCCACTCATTCAGACTCTCTCATATGGCACCTTTAAGTGAAACCAATGAGCCCCACCCTGACCACCCTCACGAAATGTACACACCCCATAATGCGTTTTCATGGAAAAGATGCCCCAAAAAACAAAACAAAAAGAGAATACATAAAATAAAGATTCAAAATGAACCTGTACAGAGCAAACTGATCCAAAGAGTGATGAAACACGTTTCCACCGACAAGCAATTTGTCTGTCCACAGTTTGAAATTTTCACTTACATATTTGCAAAAGTTACATAATACATTTGAAATCAAAAAAATATTTCAGTTAGGTGGATCAACAAACACCAGATTTTTTTATTCGACAGTCCACAAGAGGACGCAATAAATATAAATCAAACAGCAACATTGTTTATTTTAGAGCTACACTATGTAACTTTTTGGGGGGGATAAAATAACAAAATGTTATTAATGAGAGAGTGCAAAAAATCCATCTTCTAAACTGTTTCTTTACCAAGATACACTTTGACAAATCCATAATAATGATTTATATTTCAGAGTCGGGTCATATTTATACACAGACAAAAGTAGCTCAGGCTGCAGGTAGCGTCAAGCTAAAAGTATGTTGTCATAAATAAATTAGAAAAAACTTCACAGGAATAACCGGCTGTAAAGACAAAGAAACCATTATTTATTTATCCATCCGCTCTGATAAGATGTCCAGTGCCTCGAACCACATTCATCCGTGCAGAGACGAGCAGTAGCGCAACAAAAACATGACGCATGCAGTTTTATTTTTTAGCCGCTAGAGAACAAACATTTTAATTTAAGTGCATACAGTTATAAAATCATAGTTTTTGCATTCTGAGAAAAATATCCTTTAAATGTAGTCAATATATATAGTCAATATGCTCTGACTGTAGCATCAAATTGTAATCCGTTTTTGTCCCCCAAACCAATCAGGCAAACTGCCATTGAAAAGGATGTGAATGTTAACGGCTAGTTTTCTAACCTCCTTGGTTAGGAAAATCGCTAAAAAAGACCCAAAGTATAATTTAATAGAAAAAAAAATTATATTTCCTAAAATGCTAAAGTCCAAATGTATTTTCTGTTGTGTATTTACAAACAAGTGCTCGACACAGACTGCCAAACAGCCCTTTCAGAAAAGCTCCAGTCTGGTTACATAAATGGGCCAAAAGACGTCAGTAAACAAATGCAACAAACAAAATGCTATAAACAGTAATAAGCTAATCTTTATTCACGCTCTTTTTCAAATATACAGAAATACAGTGTTGTTTGTGCATGTCTACATTCTGCTGTGGACGTGGAGTTTTATAGCGTTCCCAAAAACAAATTGAAGCTGTAAATATGGACAAGCGGGAAACTCAAACATTTATGAATATAATTATTTTAATACTGTTTGTTTAATACATTATTACACATCAGGAATGTATTTTAGAGTTTCAAATGACAGATTAGTAAAGTGTTTTTTTGTTTTCAAATGGCACATTAATAAAAGGTGTCACTGGTGTTTAAAACGGCAAGAAACAGTCAAACACAAATAAATGGGGGTTGAAGATGGGAAAACCATGGTGTCAACAGAGAGGGATGTAAATATCAAAACAACTTAGTTGTGCTCCTATTTAAAGCTGCAGTCCGTAGCTTTTTTGGGTTAAAAATTATGCAAAATACATATTTGAGAAAATACATAACCAGCCAGTGTTCAAAACTCTCTGCTTGCCTCAGCTCGATTCAAAACGGTAAGCTTGTAATAATGTTTTTAATTCCAGTGGTACTGGTGGATTTCCGCGGGAGATTCGAGCATGTCTTTGTGTCAAATCAGAACTGAAGACCTTTTTATTTAGAAAGGCTTTTATGTGCTGATTGTTCTATTGCATTTATTGTTTTTAGTATTCTGCAGCTATTATTGTTGTTCTTTTATGTTGCACTTTGAGATTCTTTGGAATGAAAAGCGCGTTATAAATAAAATCTATTATTATTACGTCACATCTGTACACATGAAGAAGGAGTATCGGCTAGTAGGCTATATTGCGTGTAAGGATGTTGGAGGTGGAGATTTATAGCCTTTTCTCACAGCACTTGATATAATTAAACTTATTAATTTGATGGCGGATCCAGAAAGGTTAAAACGACAATCACCAGTGACAACAGATTCACCCGCTGTAAAATACAAATGACTTCGTTCGGACTTCGGAGTGGCTACAGAAAAAAAGAGACTGCAACCGGCCCATGCGAAAACAAGGATACATATCGGAAGGACATTACATGTAGTCACGCAATGCTGACGTTGTTAACATTAACAATTTGAGAACAAAGTATAATATGCACGGTTTTGTGTGATATGATAACTTATAAGCGATTGTTAGATGTAATCAGCGCGAATTACTGCAATGTCAGAACCAGAACAAAGGTGGATGTTTCTTACTAGTTCAGATGACATTTTACGGTGAAAATTCTTATGTTGTTCATACTTCCAAAAAGAATAATCTGTGATTCTGAATGCCAGTATCCACACTGGCGCGGGGATTGACAGCTGCACAGTCTCCTCAAACACTGTGTTCATCGCGCTGTGCCGTGTCGAGGGTGTTGAAGTACAACTCACGTAAAGTTGATAATTCTGCGAATGACTGCAATTGCAGATTTCGAACAGAGATGGCGACAAGAGGAAAAACGCCGGACTGCAGCTTTAAGCTGAATTTTCTGGAGCAGAAGAAGGGTTTATGTGGAGAAGTGGTTTACAACTAGCCTGACTACTTCAGACTTTGTACTTCCGCTCAATTTCAGTTCGCTTTTGTACTCAGTCTGAGACATCGACATGTATCTCAGTTTTCCTCCGGCCTGAAAACAGCCGGCCAATCAACGAACAGAGGGCGGGCTGAGAGCCGTGATGTAGACGCTAAGCACCGAGTTTAAGATTATATTTTAGGTTAGGGAAATCGAAAATGACCGCGGATATGGAGACACGGGATGCAATTCGCTCTGTTGTGGAGAATATTCCAGACATTTCCAAACTGAAGCCCGAACAAGAAGAGTGTTAGTTAAACATTTTGAATGGAGGTGATGTTGTGTCCCTACTCCCGACAGGTTTTGGGAAAAGTTTAATTTATCAACTATTACCAATCGTCAGCGAGAAACTGAGCAGGCCAAAGGCCGGCAAGGCGATAGTTGTGATAGTGTCCCCCTTGTTTGCACTCATGGAGGATCAGGTTAAGGAGGCAGCAAAACTCGGTCAGCCATGTTCACTCCGGTATTTCGCTCGATGGTTTCGTTTTCGCATCATACATGTGTTTACAGTGGAAGTTCGATGTGGCTGAGCTGGCGAATAACACACGTCATAACCAGACGTTATGTGATTGGCTTACGGTTAACCAATGATTTTATACTTCAGACAAGCCCCCCCAATTTATGGTTTTCAAGGATGAGCATGTCATTAAAGGGATAGTTCACCCAAAAATGAAAATTGCGTACAACACAGAAGCACTGCGCAGTTTCTCTAGGTGAACTCACTCGAGGCCCACGGAGAAGGAAATGAATAGTTGAATAAAGTCGTTATTTTTGTTTGTTTTTTGCGCACAAAAAGTATTCTCGACGCTTGATAAACTTAAGGTTGAGCCACTGTAGTCACTTGGACTATTTTAACGATGTCTTTAATAACTTTTCTGGGCCGACAAGTTTCGATCCCTTAGAAGCCTATGGAGGAGTGATCCAGCTCTCAGATTTAATCACAAATATCTTAATTTGTGTTTCGAAGATGAACGAAAGTCTTACGGGGTTGGAACAACATGAGGGTGAGTAATTACTGACAAAATTTTCATTTTTTGGTGAACTAACCCTTTAACACATCCTTAATACATGATTATATGGCTAGTTGCATTTTATTATTTGTATTTGTACTTTTCCTTCTCTCAATCACAATATCAGTTATGGAGTGTGTCGTATGTGTTCATACCTCACAGCGGAAGGGCTTCTCTCCTGAATGCTGCAGTGAATGCACTTTCAGAGACATGCTGCGTTTAAAAGATTTTCCACAGGTTTCACAGGTAAATGGCATGTCCTTTGTGTGAGCTAGAGACAGACAGAAGAACTATTGTTTTAGGCACAAGAATGAGTATGTTTCTCTAGTGTATTTTGTGGCTATATAGACATTTGAAAAGATATCTTGATGGTGTTTGAGATTTAAGTATTTACTAGGGCAGTGCTGAAGTGTGTCTGTGCGCATGTTTACTATACGTACCAACCATGTGCTTACGGACATGGGCCATGGTGTAGAATTTCTTCTCACAAATGTCACAGGCAAATTTCTTCTCTGCAAATCCATGGACAATCTTAATATGCTCGTGGAGGGACCACAGCTTCTTAAAGGACTTATTACATGACACACACTGGGACACAAAAAGATACATTGTGATACAGTACAAGAATAACATATTTAGTAGTAGGCCTATATCTTCTCTCAGACCCATTTTTTTTTTAGTCTCAATGACATTCTCAACAAGAATGAAGTCTCCCTCTGCTGGTCAGGACTGATATTAGCACATTTCTAACCTCTAATCTAATGCACTTCATATTTAAAATCTACTGATTTACAGATCTGAGATTTATACACAAGTTATCAATTTATTTGGTAATTTATCTGTATTGGACTTTTAATTGTCCATATTCATTTCCTGTATTTTTACATTTAGATTAACTTTGCCGCCATCAAAACACCAATATGTTTGCCATTTAAAACAGCAGGGTACAAAGGGGCTAAAGGCACACTTTAACAAAAATGTGATTTTCACTACTCTCATAGTGTAAAAAAAATCATAAATGTGGTCTGTTTGGTTTAAAAATTTATAAAAACAAATGAGGTGGAAAGGTGGGCATTTTACCTCACCAGCATGGGGCAAGAGACACAAAATATTTATACAAATACTTTAGCTAAAGTAATACGTTTTAAAACATATCTGAGTTAATGCTTGTTCAAAACAATCACTTCAGCAAAGTCTGTACTATTTTCTCTTTATTTTGATAAATAAAATAATTTATTTGCGTTCAATAAATATACTGTCGTTAAAATGTTCATTTTAAAAATACAGTAACAAAATTTCTTTTAAAAAAAAGTAAAGATTCTGAAAGCATTGAAGGAGATCATATAAAAAATGTATAGCTTTACAGTAGCAACAGTAAATATATTTTAATGTCACATGTGAAGGCCATGTATGGTAACCCATATTCAGAATTTGTCCTCATCCAAGGACCATTTAATCCATCATCCAAGTTAGTGCACACACATTAGTAGCAGTGAGTAGTGAACACACACGCACACACGGCGCAGTGGGCAGGTATTTTTGCTGTGGCGTCCGGGGAGTGATTGGGGGTTCGGTGCCTTGCTTAAGGGCACGTCAGTCATTTCCTGCCAGTATTGAGAATCAACCCCGCAACCTTCAGGTTACCAGTCTCACTCTATCCATAAGGCCACGAAACTCTAACCATTAGGCCACGACTGCCCCTCTGCCCCTGAAAACAGTTAAAGACCCCCTGTGGTGAAAATCAAGTTTTTAAAGTGCCCCTATTAAGCTATTTTAAAGTTTCCTAATGTTGTTTTGGAGTCTCCTACAACATGTTTACATGCATCAAAGGTAAAAAAAAAAAAAACGTTTGCACATTACTACATTTTCAATGATTCTCAAACGACTCGTCAGATGAATCAATCCCTCTAAATCCCTCCTTTCCGTGAGCTACTCTGCTCTGATTGGCCAGGAAGCTCAGTCTGTTGTGATTGGTCTACCGTGTCGAAAACGAAAACACCCATTGCCATAACAACGTCAGCTCTGCCTGTCTTGAGGCTTCCTACACCGTAAACTAAACACAGTAACGAACAATGACGTCGTATTGTACCATATCAATCTGAGCGCGAGTCCGATGTTGAAACACTGGAAGAACTAGTTATTCAACCCGAACCTCCATCGCAAGGACGACTCGAACAGGACGTTTCTCAGTGATACGCTACTCAGTTTGAGGTACATTATGAATGTTGCAACTGTAGCAGCTAATTCCTCACCATCAGCATTAACAAGTGCATGTCCATCAACAAACCAGTTATTTTACTTGTACTTATTAATTTACCAAGTATTTTCTAATTTATTGCAGTGAACATGTGGAAACTGCATCAATAACAGTGCATACATTAGCTGAGCTCTAGCGTGAATGACTGTAACATAGACCTAAACGTTGGTAAAACAAATCTTGATCGATGCTTAATCTTTCCTCAAAGTTGTGAGAACGACAGACAATCTGCATTAATAGACACAGTTTTAGGTAATAGTGGCCCACAGCTGATTAGCAGAAGTATTTCAGTATGACAGTTAACCAGTTAGCAGGAGACCTACACAATATAAAACTCAAAACTAAGTATTTGAACACCATCTTTCAAGAGCAAGCGGTTTGCGAATCCTCCATTGAACTCCGAGATTTGAGAAGCAGTCGTCAGTACAATAAAGGGAACAGCAAAAGTTTAGGATTACACTGCTGTGGTATTGTGGTAAAGATAAATTTTAACCACTGATTCTTCACATGCTCGTCCTTGGCCAATGAAAAAAAAAACTGGCTTTACCATGATGCTGTCCAGTGTCCACAGGAATCAGCTGCCGTGTTTGAGGGGGTTCAAGTTTTCCCTGGTGTCAGTGCGTGCTCGCGCAATAAGTGGGCGACTCTTACTTTTGAAAGACAATAACTTTATATGCGGTGCACTTTCAGATGTAAAACTTTACAGGATGTTTTCATTCACCTAAGGCCCATTTACACTGCATGGTTCAAGTGACCCAAATCCGTTTTTTTCCTCTCATGTGGCACAGATCGGATATGACCCATGAACGTGTAAGTAGGAAAAAACCGCATGGATTCCGATTTTCTCAGATCGGATTCAGGTCTCACTCATATGTGGTAATAAATCAGATATGAATCGGATACGTGCATTTGCGTGTGCCATGTAAGCAGACAAATCGGATATTCCCCAGTAAATGCGAGTCGTACGTCATTAAAAAAGTGACGTCAACTCAGGTGGACACCACCAACTGAGATCACATGACTTATTATAGGCGCGATGGAGGACGAAGGATACACACAGTGGAGCAATGCGGAGGTTTCATGTCTTTTGAGTGTTTGGGGCGAAGAGACAGTGCAGGCAAAAATGCAGGGTTGTTACAGAAATAAATCCGTGTTTGAAGACATTTCACGAGATATGGGGAGGCACGGTTTTAAGCGCTCGTGGCTAAAGTGCCACCGTAAGATAAAAAGATGAATGACTTTTAAAAATATTGTGTAAAGCAAAACACTGGATAATTTTATTCACATCTGCCATCCATTGTATTTTGTGCTGTTTTACTTCCTTTTCCGGGTCAGAACGTCTACATTTGGTAGTTTCAGCACAGCAGTGTATAGTGTAAATGCAAAAATCGGAAACTGGTCACTTTTAAAAGATGATGTAAGCGGGTCGTCAAAAAAAACGGATATAGTCAGAAAATCGGATTTAGGCATCAAGACCTGCAGTGTAAATGCAGCCTTAGAGCTATGTTACACACTACATGAAAGGTCATTTTCAAAAAATCAATAATAGGGGCACTTTAATGTTGTTTATACCACGGCCTGTTTAAATACTCGATTCTGATTGGCTGGAAGGTGTGCAGTAAAACCGTTTAATGCACAGGTAGTTCCAGTCAGTTTGATTACAGTTCGAAATTAATCCGCTACTATAAACATTGGTAACCATAGTAACAGAGTTACACTTGCAAAAGAGTGAGAGAGACACATATGAAAACGTTAGGTAGGCTCAGAGCCATAGAGAGAAAGAGTTGCGACCATAGACATAATAAATACATAGACGCCCTATTGGCCGCTGGAGCGTACGTCAACGGCGCCGCCATGTTGGGGATGGCAACTTTCCCATACCTCTCATACCGGGAGTTGAGAAAAATCCCTGTTTTGTGCGCTGTTTGGGGCTGTACACATCGCCACACAATTGAAAACAGCTTTCGAGGAATTACCTTTCACAAGCAAGACTGAACGTTTGTTTTTGGTTGTATTTGGTCATGATTTAATTAGTAATAGTAACGTTCAGAGGTTACATTTAAAAATACTACTGTTATTGTGTCACGAAATGTAGTTTTAATAGTTTTTCAGTCGACAATGTAGTTGTTTAAAGCTCAAATCTGTGGTTTGTTTATAAAGATAGCGCCTATTTAAAAATTTGATCTGATGTTTTCGGAGTTGTAAGATGCTATCACCGGGGCTCAGACCTCGTCTACCCCGCCTGGAACAGCCGTACCTCGGCCAGTGCTTCTGACGTTTTGCCACTGACTCGGATGTCTGTTAACCTGACTCCGCCAGATGGATTTGCTCCGCATATCCATCTGGAAACCTTCCGTTGAAGTAGTTTTGGTAAGGGGCGAAAATGCTGGTTAGCTGATTGGTTGGTGATAGACCTATGTTGGTGATAGACGGGCCAAATCAACCAATCAGATCAACGAAGCATATGACGTACTAACAGAGCGTATCTTTTCCTCTGAGAAAAGCCTCCAGAGCAGTGTTTTGCTCTTCTTTCAGTGAAGAAATACTCTGTAATTCCGATAAAACTTGCTCGATAGCCACGCTGATGCTAGTTTCATCCGCTGAAGCCGACATGTTCTTTAGACTGAACTGACGCGCTTCTCGTTGCGTCACACCTCAACCCGCCTCAAAGCCAACGCTGATTGGATGTTCGTTTGGTGAACTGCTCCCAAATTTTCTTTAACGTTAAGTATCCAGACTGATCTGCGAGTGAAACCTTGAAAGCTCGCGAGATCAGGATGGTCTCACGAGGCTAGATGTCTGTAGTCTAGTGGTTAAACAGAGATATAATTCGTCTTGTGTATATCTAACGGGCGATCTTTGGTCTCATTAATCTATAAATGGTTCCCTAGTAAATCGTTTTGGCTGAGGGCAAAGTGAAGTTTCATAACTTTATATTTAGGCTATTTTAACGTTGTATCCTGCTGTATGTTTGACTGAAGCTACTTCTGTTATAATGGCTATTACTGATCAATAAAACTGAAATTTATCAAAAAGAGTTAATATTAAAATGTCACTATTTAACTTATTTTTTATTGTATATATTCTGTAATTGATATTTCTTATTCTATTGCTATTATTATAGTATTATTAATAAACTATATGCTATTATCAATATTTTTATGATTGTATTATTGTACTTATGATATTATATAATTATACTATTCATTACTATTTTATTTGCTGTATACTATTTGTTTATTTTATTGACTAAACTATTTACTATTACTTCTCACTTTATATTTACTATTTGCATTGCACTATAGTTGTATATGTATTATCATAAAGGATCCATCAGTTATCTTTGTTATTGCTAAAATCTGGTCAATCACAAAAAATACTTTTTCCACAATAAGAAAACTTAAATTATATCTCAGTATGGGGGTCTTCACCATTCTTATTCTTAAAAAGCCAAATACATGACAAGCCTGAGCTTTGACCATTCTTTATTAAAAAAAAAGAATATTTTACAAGTCTAACTATCGAGATTTTAAATAACTAGAGATGGAACTTTTTGTACACCACATACAAACTGAAATCGGTTGATAAATGTAAAAACAGTTTGTTTGTATCCAGAAAAAACGCAGCTCACCCGTTTACTTACATTTGATTACAGTGCAGTCTTGCCCTCCGCAAAATGGCGGACCCGTTGACGTATCGCAGCAACGTTCCAAAGCGGCCAATAGGGAGTCTATGTATTTATTATGTCTATGGTTGCGACCACTGATCTATATAATGTCATTCTATATAGATCAGTGGTTGCGACGCTCTTTGATCGCTCGCGATGGCTGTCACGTGGTTCATGTAAGCCCCAATAGTTCCAAAACATACGCGGGCTGTCATGCTCTTCTATGGGACAGACAGCAGCGATTGCATTATTGACCGGTAAATATAAAATAAAACACACACCCAAGTACTTTTTCAGCTGTTACTGCATTATTGCATTTTGTTAATGTCAGTTATGCATTTGGAGAGGCAGGGTGACAACGAAATAGCCTACTACTGTATATTACTTAGATACGTTTTAGGCTTTTTTTATTTATTTTTTTGAGGGAAAAGACAGAGCTAGATAAGATCGAAGACGACAAATATAAGGTCAATACGAAAAAGACAACTAAATGGGCAGTTAACCCTTTCAGTGACTTGTTGCGCCAAAGACAGAACAATTGTGATTTCGAGACCTAACGTTACTCTGCTTCTCTTTTAAATGAGACATTTCGGGAGTTTTATGCCTCTGTTCAGTCTACCGCTGGACGCGAATACAATGTTGCAAGTTTGATGCGTCTCAGAGCAGGTATAAACCGTCACATTACAAAATACAACATCATAAGGGATAAAGACTTCAAGTCAAGCAATGCCGTCTTTAAATCAGATTTAAAGCGCTACAGGAAAAATGGAAAAGACACCAGCGTTCATCATCCGCGTAAGAAAAGTTTGGTTTGACATACAGCTAATTCATTTAAATAAATGACATGATTAGTTCAAATAAAGCTTGCCTTGTCACTGTCACCTATCATTCATAAATAATTTTAATAAATCCATGAATCATCAAGTTATAGGCCTATGCTTAAGCAACGAGGGGACTGTAGACTTTAAAGAAGAGACGCTCATAGGTAACTCGCGCACGCATCTCTCTCTCCTCTCTCTTTCTTCTCTTTCAGTTCTCTGTCTCTCTCTCTTAATAATGAATTTAAATAAATGTGATAATTCATTCAAATAAAAGCAATCCGATGGCTCTACTTTATTTAAAGTGGACGGAGTGCTAGAACTAACGAGCCGTAACTTAAGAAAATAACCGTCATTTTTACACGTCTGTTAAAAAATTACATTGTAAACATCAGTTACAGCTTTAACTTCTTATTAACTTGGCAAATAACCGAGGTATCCGCTTCGCGTCGGGTGGTTCTTCGCCTCTACGTCGTGCATTAAAATCCTTTAATGCATGGCTAGCCGTGGATTATCCCTTACTTATATGTCTATGTGGTGTTTTTAATGTGCTTTAAGACAAACCTTGCGCAAATTCTTAAGTCAACACCATTGCTGAGTATTTTCTCCTTAAAACTGGAGTGAACTAAAGACAGTCTCAAAAATGCTGTTTGCAATCACTGGTGTTTCTGATGCCACAAACTACCTTGTAACCAATCACAATGGTCCACAATGACGATCAGTCAATGTGCGGGCTTTAGCATATCATCATTACTATGCTCTGAAGCAGTGGAGTCGTCTGGATGTCCAAACTGAACCGGTGTTTTCAAAGCCAGAAAAGTGTTAGAAGCCAGGTTATCTCGGTATATTTTTCTGTTGATAGGAAAAGTCGGGTACATCGGGGCGGCAGTGGCTCAGTAGTTCATGTAGGTTGTCTACAAACCGGAAGGTTGGTGGTTCAATCCTCGGTTCCACCTGATCAAGTGTCGAGGTGTCCATGAGCAAGACACCTAACCCCAGCTGCTCCCGACGAGCTGGATGGCACCTTGCATGGCTGACACCGCCGTCAGTGTATGAATGAGTGATTGTGAGGCAATATGTTAAGCGCTTTGGTGGCCATTGGGTCTGTGCAAGCGCTATATAAATTCAGTCCATTTACCATTTTACATTTAGCAATATAGCAGGTGAATTTTGTATATGATGTGTATTTCGATGAACTATATTTCTTTCTCCACTGACGTTCTGAGTTGTTCAAATCGTTTCTGGATGCTGACAGAAAGCAGCTGTCTGAGGTGGCGAACGGGAAAATGGTTAGTGTAACATTAGCAGCACATTATTAGCTGTTTGATAATGCAGTCAAGCAAAAGGCTAATCATATTAATTACCGTTATGTGTCCGACATTGTAAAGAGTGATACATAAAACCCATTACCATTCTGATACATCGTCTTGTAGACGAGCCTGTACATAATTCACTCTTACACTTCTTCTGAATAAGTTTCTGGTTTAAACATATATGGCTGAATTAAACCAGTATTTCCACTTGCCATTGTGCAGCATTTACTACAGTAAAGTTGACCGAGTGAATCTCTGAGCTGGTGTGAGTGAATCTCTGAGCTGGTGTGAGTGAAATCTCTGAGCTGGTGTGAGTGAATCTCTAAGCTGGTGTGAGTGAGTGGAAATACATTTTTCTCACAGGTTTAAATGTCATTTTGGTGATCAAAGATGAGTTTTAAGGGATCAAATTTTTTACTACAGGGTGGCTTTTACATAACTGTTTTCTATTTCAATATATTTTAAAATGTAATTTATTCTTGTGATCAAAGCTGAATTTTCAGCATCATTACAGTCTTCAGTGTCTCATGATCTTTCGGTTATCATTCTAATGATGATCAAGAAACATTATACAAATGTTTAAACTATCACTTTTGATCAATTTAATACATCCTTGCTGAATAAAAGTATTACATTTTCTGTTACTGACCCCAAACTTTTGAAAGGTAGTGTTTTGTTTTCTACAAAATTCAGTGAGATTGAACAAAAAGTCTCTGTCCCTCACGGCCTTATTTCTGCTTCCGTCTCATTAAATATGGCCTCTTCCAGAAGTAAAGATTATTAACAATATTAGTATTATTACTATTAAGAATACTCGTGAACAGTGTACAGTGCCATGTCTTTTGATTGAGATCATTTACTAAAAATGAGGCATTTCCATAAAGAGTCGGGATGATCCTCTTACCTGGATGTTCTTCTCGCAGTCCGTCTGCTGGTGAAGAGCGAGTTCACTCTCCAGCACGAACTTCTTTCCGCACTTGTCGCAGATCTGCATGCGTCTGTGTGTCACATTCATGTGCTTCTCCAGGTACCAGCGGGTGTTGAACACACGTGGACATTTTTCACACACTAGCGTCTCTTTCTCCTCACCCTCTCCCTTGGCTCCAGAGGCAGAGGCGGTGGAGCCTTTGGCCTCCTTGGCAGGTCTACGCTTTTGGCGCGGGGAGTTTGCATTCTTCCTCCGCCCCCTGGTTGTCACACTGGCGTTCGTTGTGGTTACGTTTCCTGTCGACGAAGGGGCTACGCGACGACTCTTGCGACGCGGCGAAGAAGCTGCTCTACCCCTGTGCGCCCGTTGTGCTCTTGTTCGCCGATTGTTGTTCTCCTCCTCTTCATCTTGATCGTCCTCATCGCTGTAGTCTTCTTCAATGCTGTCATCTTCTTCTTCTTCCTCCTCCTCCTCATCATCATCATCATCTTCTTCTTCCTCACTATTGCTCTTGTCATCTCCTGCAGTGTTCATACTTTCCGCATCATCTCCTTTGGATACGTGCAGAGTCTGATTATTGAGGTTGACCTCTACGATGATCTGCCCTCGTTTAAATTCGTCCTCTGCCCCGGCTCCCTCTTCAGCTTCAGAATCTTCTGACGTCCCTCCATTTCCACTCTTCGTCACAGCTGCTCCGGACCCTTCCCGGTAAAACGGTTGAGTCGGGGCAGGATGGGTATTCAGGTCTGAGGACATATGCGACTCTGGCCTCACAGCCACCGTGTTGTCAATGACCACAGAGTACGGTTTGGCAGCGGCTTCTCGCTTGTACAGTTTCGCCGATAGCTCTGCATCGGGAGCGGAGGCGTTGTGGAAGTACGTTTGGGAGGATTGAGTCATTTGCCCCTCCTCTTGCGACATTGTCTCTGAGCCGGACACCTCCTCCTTCAATGTCTGGCGGGACTTCATCGGCACCCGATTGTTTGCTTGAATCAGAGTGTTTGCCTCTTTACGTTTGAAATTAACCACTGTTTGCTGTCAAGGGTGGTACAGGAGATAATGTACCCCTCCTCTCGAGTGAATGAGAGGAGGGCAAGAGAGTGTAAAGGAGGAGAGAAGATCAGAGATGCCTTAGCCTAGGCCAAACTGAGCCTCCATTACGTTCACTAGGGCATTAAATAAAAAGAAAGATATATGAAAAAAGTGAGACTGGAAGACTAAGAAAGTGAATAAGACTTTCAACACAGTTCAACAGATGTTATAGGACTGCGCGATTAATCATGATAAAACCAAAAATCGCAATATGGATATTGCAATGACTTAATTAAATATGTGAAGTGAAGTGCAGCATTGTGTTCTTTTACATGCAAGCAGCTTCTGATCCGCTGTTTTTAGTGTCTCAGAGCGGCTTGGTTCGCATCTCTGCATGTGCTTTTTTGGGTCACTTATATTGTGTATTTGGGAACGCAACATGCGTCAACCATCTTCCCAAACTTATAGTGAGAAATGTTAAAGCTTAATGGTTAAACACTTAAAAATAATAATTATAAATAAATTATCATTTTAGTATAGTAATTTTACAGCTGTACTGTAATTATTTTTCTTACATTTTTATTTTATTTTACAGTGAAATATTACAATAGGAATATTTCTTATTTTGTTTAAGTCATTGTATGGCCAAATTGTGCAGCCCTCCAAAAAAACAGGAGCATCTTTTTTAATGGCAATTTTTAAACAGACTTTTTACCACCCAAATCATGCAGCCCTAAAATGTTTCACCTCAAAATAGGGCTTGGCGATATAGCCAAAAAATCATATCTCGTATTTTTTGGTTGAATGGCGATATACGGTATACATCTGGGTATTTTCTACTTTTTTTTCAAACAATGTTCATATTGAAGGCTATGAAAACAAATATACTGAATGTAAACCATGTAGGCTGCATATTTTAGCAATATGTATATATTTTAGTCAGAATTATTGTGCTCCGTCGGCGCTTGTTCACTGAAGTCAGTGAAGTTTTGCGGAGATTCACTCCTGACAGCAAAATGGACATTTTTGTTTCTAACATTTACAGATGGAGAATATACCTGTGAAATGCAAGTTATGCACTGAGGAAAGCACTACATTTCAAACAAATTAAACAGCTCAAATATCTCTCAGCACATGTATCTGTCAGAGCAAGCCACTATAAACTATACGTGTTATATCTTACCACCTATATTGAACCCCTTAATATAAAGCAGGTCTCATATTTAGGACAAATTAGATGATGCACTTTCCCCGCAGCAGCTCACTCTATTTTTTTTAGATCCGCTCGTATGAAACTACTGTATATTGATATAAATGCATTCCCTCATTCCATATCGTTTATTAAAAATATATCAATATATTGTACAAACTCGAACCTCAAATTACTCACATGAAGTCTGCCTCACTGTGCAACTACATGCACATATTTCATCATGATCCAAATGAAAGTTGACTTGGCTTTAGATCCAAACTTCACTCTCTCAACAGCATCTCGGTTTCACATGAAAAGACAATAGCGGCACCTCATCTGCAATCTCTGCTGATTCAGACACAAAAGCCGCCTCCTTTCAGTCAGTGATGTGACGGTGTCTCTGCGCCGCTGAACTCAAAGCTTAGATCTTGCAGTCATTACCAGCTGCTCCAAATCAGCACCATGCAGCCAGACACTACCTGAAAGAGAGGAAGAAATTACGTAAAAGGTTGTGAAAGCAATGAAAGACAATTGAAAGCAATTATCTCAAGAGTCAACTGAGACGTCACATTTATTTCAGTACATCAAAGCGGGTAAATGAACCACAACTACCATTGAAACAAGAGCAGTGTGTCATCAAACTTTTTGTGTCATCAAACAACAAAAGATTTTCAAGAACGGTACGATACGGCTTTATACGAGGCAGCATAACACAACACCTCTGCAATTACAGTAATCACCGTGACTGTTACCTGGTAAAACCTTCTGGTCTCCTGGTGCCCCAGATCCTTTATATGTATGTGTGAGTGAGTGAGAGAGAGAGAAAGCAAGAGAATAAGAGAGGGAAAAGAAAGAGAAACGAAACTGCAGCCTGGTTAAGGTGTAGACTTCTAGAATCTCACTACTAATCAGATACACAAACCAGACCGCAACCGTTTCGCTTCTCAGCGCAAGTGTGTGTGAGCAACTCAAAATTAAACCACAAGTCGAGTACAAAAAACACAATCACACAATGAGTAAAAAAAAAACATTTTCATATTCTAAACAATCTGGGACAACCTCACTTCATCACTGCCACCAAACATGTCACAACAAGCCACTTGCAGAAGAAATATCAGCAGAGCTTACCCATGCCGAAGTCGCCAGCACGAGTGTTGCTATGTGGTTGCTAAGTATTTGGATTGGTTGCTAGATTTATTTACCAAGTGGGCCTGTAGTGATTATTTGATCTGATCATGAATGTTTAACTACGATTATAGTACACTTTAAATTACAGTCACATATTGCAATCCAACAAATGGCCATTTTTATGCCTCTCTTTCTGGTGCAGTAGTGCATTACAAGTGCACCCATTTGAACACATGAAAGTGAATATTTTAGAAAATAAATATTTTATTAATGCATAATATTCTAATATTATTGAAATAATAATAATTAATTCATTAACCCAAGAGAAAAATTAAAAACATTTTTTTAATATATATTTTAACATTTAATACACAAACACACTCATACATACAAATATACTTATACATGCATACATGTGCAAAAAATGGGTAAGAAACTGTGATACATTTTTTCAGGATTCTTTGATGAATAAAAGTTCAAAATAACAGCATTTATTTGAAACCAAAATCTTTACTCTCACTTTTGGTACATTTATTGCCTCCTTGCTAAATAAAAATATTAATTTCTTAAAAAAATAAAATAAAATAAAAACTCTTACTGAACCAAACTTTTGAACAGTGTACAATATTGTTCAAAGCTTTGGGGTCTATTTAACAACGAATCCTGAGAAAACAGTTTACACAAAATATTAAGCAGCTAAGCTGTACATTGATAGTAATAATAAATGTTTCTTGAGCATCAAATCATCATATTAGAAGGATTTCTGAAAGATCATGTGACACTGAAGACTGGAGTAATGATGCCGAAAATACAGCTTTTGAAAATTGGGGTGCAAACGGATCACAAAACTTACGGTTCTGTAATACATGTTGTTAAAACTGATGCATTGCTCAGTTTAACAATATATATACATATACATATATATATACATATATATATAAATAATTCCCCCCGATAATTAAACAAAATTTGCAGAAAAGACAATTACAATAACTATTCAACTAAATGTCTGAGCCATTTTTCTTTGATCTGTATGACATTCATTTAACAGAGAGATTTCCAACCGAAACAGGAGACAGTTATACACTCAAGAACCAAAATGAGACCACAAGTTTCAGTGTGAGTGATTGTAACGGGTGTGGGGAGGGTGTGTGCGCTCAAGGAATGATCATCCCCAATCAATGGCTCTTTTATATGGCAATATGCAACAATATAGACCACCAAGGGATCAAAAATCAGAGTGACCCTATTAATTACTGTGTGCCCTTTTACATATTAAATCTTTTGTCAATTATATAATGAATGCAGAGCTTCGGCACAGGGATGTTACTCAGTCGCCATTAATTAATCAAGTTCAACACAAGACCCCACCTCACTTGCTGACTCAACACCGTCAAAAACAACAACACCTAAACAACAAGTAAACAGCAGCCACAAACAGGAAAAATATCTCTGTTTATGCACTGCTGCTCTTAACGGCTTCAACCTTGACTTCCTGGCTCTCTGTGAACATCTCTGTTCCGTTTGAGTGTGTGTGCGCCAATTGTCTGTGTGAGCTGAACAATAGTTCCTGTGAAATATTCAAGAGTCTTTAGAACAATAATGCATTGTAAAGCATTGGCTGTGGACAACATGTATTACATGATAAAATCTAAAGCCTTGTGACTACCAAGACAATCACTGTCTAGTCAGAGTGCTGCATGCCACATCTGAGAAGAGACCAACAGTGTGACTCAGATTAACCCACCGCCATGCTAGGAAAGCATACCTTCAATTTTTCAAAGAATTTTACTTCTGTCATCGTTGGGATTTCTTTCTTTAAATGTTCGTCAGACAGATGGCAACACTGGTGCCTTTGACTGTCTGAGAGCTGCACAGATGCAAACAGCACATTTTGTATTTAGAAAGTTACAGACGTATACATGGATCGCAAGCCTTGTTGATTCATCAAGGTGCGTGCGAACATCTAGATAAAAGAAAGTGAGTTCACTCTATCCTGTGGCAGCAGGAAAGGATGTCTGACACTGCGCATGCATATATGTGTGTGTGTGTGTGTGTGTGTCAGTGTGTGTTCCTATAGTGAGCTATACTGTGAATGTATGCACTGTCTGATTTGAAAGGTCATGACGATCATGTGTCTGAGGGGGAGGAAGCGGCATCTGAATGATAAAAAGCAAAAAAGAAACAGTTAGGCCAGTTAAAACAGAAATGTAAAGTCAGAAGAGAAAGGGTATAACGTTGGAAACGTATATACGGTTGACCTTTGAGTCTCCTTTAGGACATGTGAGGCTACTTTACAACACATTAAAGGGATACTATGACTTCCAAACCTGTGTTGTGTTCCACTCAAGAAAAAGTCACACAGGAGAAAAGAAACGACATGAGGGTTAGTAAATGATGAGATTTTTCATTTTAGGTGAACTACTACTTTAAGGCCAGTATCTCCATATTCATGTTTTAACTAGCCTACACATTGTCATAAACCCTAATTCAAATCAATAAATGGTGAGTCGTTTTGACAAATGATTGATGTCACACAAATAAAAGTTCACCCTATTTTCTAAATGCATGTTATTGATCTTATTGTGAATGATTCATCCATGCATGTTTCTTTCTTTTAAACTTGTTTTTTTGACTGTGTCATTTTTAATCAAAATATCTATTAACTCAAACTTCCGGTGAAACAAGACTTCTTTCTGTTGACTTCCCCATTCATTTAGTCAGTTTAAACCCCGCCCCTTTCTTACAATCAACTGCATGCTTGAATTCAGATCTGCCTCCATCCAATCAACAACCAATGGATTTTTACCAAGACCCTGCCTACATTTTGTTTTTCATTTTGAAAAATCCGTTTCACTCAGATGCACGTCACAATACGGAAGAAAAGATCTGTCGCTACTTCCGTTACATTTAGACTTTGAAAAGAAATCTGTTCATAAATCAGGTGTATGCTAGTTTTTGGATGCAGCCAGTAAAGCCATCACAATAGAACTATGTTTTCTGTTTATATTCATTTTATTGTATTATTCCAGCCTTTTATACCCAATTCATTCAACAGACCAACAACTCCAGTAACAATTTCTTCAGCTTTATATTCAATAGCAGTGCATGAAACTCAGATTCATGCTTGTGTTGTTTACAGAAACACAACTGATCAAAAATATTTAAAAACAAACCGTTTAAAACCTTGCATGTTAACTATTAAGGGTGACTTCATTCGCCTGAATCATGCAGCTCTCCTGCGGCGTCAGTTTACATTACTGAATTGGCCACACATACACGCGTATAAACCTACCCACACAAACAAACCATATACACAAACAAACGCCTACACATATACAATTATACACACACAAACACATACCCACACAGATACAGCCATATACACACACCTCCACCTTTCTTCCTGTGCGCTTTGCAACTTTCTGAGAATTGGAAAGCGCAGCATATGTGACCACAGGATGGGTGCATAAGGGGTCACACACCTCAGAGCGTGTGCGTCGGAGTCATAGGAAAGTAGCCGGCACATATAAAGCATATTACTGTACATATACTTCAAAGACTGGCCTGGCACACTATCCTCTATGTGTAAATACTGTTGTGTGCTTCAAATCAAGGCAAAATCGTCACTTTAAATAACAAATGATGCTCAACATTCAGGTTAAATAGACTTGTAATGTAAATTCTTTGCTAAAGATCTGCAAAAAGATAGTTAAAACAGCTTTGTCACTCATAAATTGAGTGCACCCATCAGAAGGACGCCAGAAATGCAGATTCTCACGGCGCTCTGGGGGCCGCAACAGAATCTACCAACACATCTGAGGAGGAAAGGAAGGAAAAAGCACCACCTATTTTTACACATGTGCACAAGAATTCAAGGTGCATGCATGCGTTCGCATCTACAAATCTGTCTATGTGTACAGCGACGTAAAGGCCTAGAGTTTGCATGCTGTGGTGCAATGAAGAAAAGCAGGGAGAAATTTGACGTGAAAGCATGAAGACAAACTCAATGATTTAATTTTTCTCACTTCATGACTGACTTGTGCAACTGAAGTTTCGAAACGCCTCAGGCCGCTCCTCTCATCATCTTGAGCAAGTAGGTGGATGATAATGGTGACTAATCCTGGGTTTCCTCGCACATGAAAAACAAGCTGCTTTGATGTGGGTGACAATCACAGAATTAAAATCTCTACGACCAATGAAATTACTCACCTTTTAGCATAAATATCCCAATCAATTGTTACTGATTCAAGGACTGAGGATCAAGAATATGACCCCATAAGCCCCCCTATCTCACCCTGTCCAATCAACCATGAACAAATTAAACTCATTTAATTACCAA